GAGAGAGAGAGAGAGACCGGAATGAGAAGTTTAACTTTTGTCAAGTAACATGATTTCACGAAGTGAAATTACGGCAAAGAAATGAGGAACGTCCGAAGTTGCAATGTTGTGCAGCAGACAAATTAGGCAGATAAATAATCGATAAATAATTTCTTAGTAAAATATCGAATTAATGTGCGTGAATAATAGTTATTAAAAATAAAATATTAATATAAAATAATGCGTATAAAAAGTTGTAATTTTTAATAGATAACTTATTGCTGCTTGCACGTTACCTAATTTCCAGCGAAAAATAAATTACCTGGAATTTGCGATACCAAAGTATTCACATCGTTACATGGAGTTCTTAGCGGAATGCGATGACAAATCGCTAAAACCTGATCGCAAAAAGCGTGTCGTTAATAGCAGGTATGAGAGGAAGACAGATCGTGTATGTATATCCAGCGAGATGCAAGGTTAAATCCTTAACGCGTTTAAGTGCAATCTCGCCTGCTAACAGGCGAAGCAGAACTAATTACCCGCTACATTAAGCGTCATCAATCAATCCTTTTATTTATCAGCCGCTTTTTGTGCATTCCATTTCACAAAAGTAACGGAACGCGAACGGGACGCCTGACCTTCTGCAGTTGACAATGTAGGAAGCGTTTTTTATCGCGACGTATAATTACACCCGAATAAAAATAAGCACCCCCTGTCTACCACCGACGATTATGCTAGTTGATCGGCGATATCGCGCGTTCTTTACCGCGTGATTTGCGCATTTGCGCAATTTCTCACATAGGCTAAACGATGTAAGTGCAGACAGTTTACGACAATGAGTGTCGCAAATTGCGTCTTTTGTATATTTGTTATTTTCTTAAAAATAAAAAATATTTATAATATTCAAAATAAATAATCACAAGTAAATTTCAATATAAATTGTAATAATTATAAGATTCTTCAAGTTCGAAAAGGCAATCTTTTCTCGTCTTCTGTTCGCAGGACTCGCAGAACGGCCCGGTGCTGGACCGATGGAGTATCTGCTCGGCTGAGGAGGAGCCGCTGGTTCTACAGCAGTTCCTCAGATTCGCCGAGACGCGTCCGTTTGTGCAGCAGTTGCTGCTGGCCGCCGGAACGCCAGGTGCGGATGCTATGTCACCCAGCAGACGACCTTCGCCACCGACGATGCCACTAGCACACTTGCCGCCCCCGTTGCACATGCTCCACTGCGGCCTGCCACCGCCGGGCTCGCGGTTGCCGCACCCGTTGCCACCGCCGCCTCCACCGCTGCCGCCGTCGTCGGTCTCGCATCCCTCGATGTCGCCGACGGCGCAGAAACACCACTATTCCTCGGCCGGCAATCCCATCGTCACCAGCAGGGCGAACTCGCCGCCGCGTTCCTTGGACTCGCATCTGACGGTGTCGCCGTTGAATCGGTTGCAGAGCATGCAGCCGTTCGACTTTCGGAAACTAGGCACTCTCGGCCTGCCGGCGTTCCCGCCGTTGCCGCCGCCGCCGTCCGCGGAGCAGCTTTTGCAAAATCGCAAATCTATGAGGAATCCGCAGAGCCCGCACAGTCCACCCCATCACTCCACGGCGTCGCAGTTGCAGAGGCCGCACATGCCGGTCGCGCCGGTCTCCTCGTCGGCGCTGACTTTCGGCCACCCGCTCTCGGTTGCAGTTTCTTCCGGAGCGCTACCACCGAGTTTCCCCACGCATTTCCCGCCGCCACCGATGGGCAAATCGCCCGGCGGTATCGGCGGACTGACGATACCCGCTGACGTTCACAGCGGCGGTGAGAAGAGCAGCGAATTCGGCTCGGAAGAGGACGAGGACGACGATGAGAATTCCGACAGCGCGTTGAACCTCAGCAGACGGGACTCGGCTTTGTCGAAGCATGCGATTTCCGCCGAACACCGTCACCCATCGTTATCGCTGCAGACCGCGCCGCTGGGCAGGCCGCCAGGTATACCCGGTCGGAAACCGCACTCACCGGGCAAGCGGCCGGGCAGCCAATGGGGCGGCGCCGCAAACATGCCGCCTAATCTCGGCACGCCCTTCATTAATCCTACCACCGGCAAGAAACGCGTGCAGTGCAACGTCTGTCTGAAAACCTTTTGCGACAAGGGCGCTCTGAAAATCCACTTCAGCGCCGTGCATCTGCGCGAGATGCACCAGTGCACTGTGAAGGGCTGCAGCATGATGTTTAGCTCGCGCAGGTCGCGCAACCGGCACAGCGCCAATCCGAATCCGAAGCTGCACTCGCCGCATCTACGCCGCAAGATCTCGCCGCACGACGGCCGCTCGTCCATGGCGCACGCTTTGGTGCTGCCGCCGCAAGTCGGACTGCCGGTACCAGCCACTGGACTGAATCACCTGCCTTTCGGCTCCTTCCCGTTGCTCACTCCGCCGCCGGATCTCCGCTCGCCGGCCTCGTTGTGCGCGTTGGACTTCAAGCATCTCGATCTGTCGTCGCAGGGTCAAGGCAGACCGTACGACGAGGCGTTGCAACAGAGAATGTCGGTGAGCGCGAATCTGTCAACGACCACCGCCTCGACGACAATGCCGATGGCGATGTCGACCGCGGCGGTCAACACGATTACGACGACGGCGCGAAACTCGTATCCCGGCAGCGCGCCCATCAGCGCGGTTTCGCCGTCTACCCAAGCGTCGTCCATGATACCGGAAGGCGAAGAGGACGACGACGACGACGGCGGTATCGTCGTGGTCGCCGAAGACGAGACCAGCAATCTGCCATCGAGATTGCAACCGCTGCGCGCCGACGACGACGAGCAGCCGGCCGATTTCAGTCTGGCGAAGCGGCCGAAGCTCTACTTCGGCGACACGGCCGACGAGGATCTCGCTAGCAATCCCGACAGCAACGAGGACAACGATTCGATAAGCACGATCGATCAGCAACCTTTCTCCGTCAGCCAGCACTCGCTCAACTCGAGTTCCTTCCACAGCCGCGGCGTGCGCAAAAGAAAGTCGCAGCATCCTACGCGATGCGCCGTGCCGGCGGAAGTTCACTCTTCATCCACCGACGGCGATTCCTCCAATGACGAAGAGCAGCAGCGGATTCAACGGCGATGCCTGTCGGACGGCGGCGTGGTCACGTCGACGCCGATGACGGAGTTTCAAAACCAACCGGAGGACATGTCGATGTCCAGGCTGGAGGCGGAAGAGCGAAAGATCTTACCCGGCTCGCCGAGAAATCTCCGAGGTGGTTTCCACGATCGCGAATCGAACTCGCGCTCACCGGACGCCGGCAACAGAGAGCGCGAGACTGCTGGCAATCGACGTGACAACCCCTCCTCCCAGGACAACGCGGAGGATCTACCTCAGGACGAGCCGCGGGACTTGAGTTCGAGGGCGAGCAGCGTCAAATCGCCGAAACGACAGATCACTCCGGAACCAAAGACCGATGGCGCGCCGTCGTCGAGCACGGCGCCGAGCGGGGCGGCGGCGACGGCGGCAGCGACGGCGACGACGACGACGACGGCGACGACGACGACGACGACGACAACGGCGAAGAATCCCGACGCGACGTCCGCGGAGCGGAAGGATCGACGGCCGAGCGCGGAGAGCGACGAGACGACGGCGAGGGTGAAAGACGAGACGGTCACGAAACGCGAACTTGCCGAGACGGCGCGGGAGGAAGGGAAGACAACGAACGACGGAGCGGAGAACCGCGAGGACGAGGAGGACGACGATGATGAGCCCATGGAGGAGGTCGAGGAGGATGATGATGATGAGGAAGACGCGGACGACGCGCTGCGCAATCAAGAAGGTGAGCGTCCCGATGATCCCCCCCGTGCCCCGAGCTCGGTCGACAGCCGTCCGACGACAGCCGACGACCTCTCCCACGACTCCTCGACCAACACTTTGCGTCAACTCGAGTCCTTGTCGCAGGGTCGATGCGCGATGCCGTACGCCGAGACGCAGCGGGTGGCTTCGAGGTCTGGCCGCGGCTCTACCAGCCCTATCAGCCTCACGACCCACCAGGAGACCACCATGGACAACTCCTCACGTGGCTCTCGTTCATCCAGCGCCTCACCCTCCACAGCGGCCATGGATATGGACAATAGCCTGATCACGTACGCGCGCTACGAGAACGGCGGCTTCGTCAGCACCCAGGAGGTGCCGCTCGACCGTGAGAATCCGCGCCGCTGCACCGCCTGCGGCAAGGTCTTTCAAAACCACTTTGGCGTCAAGACTCACTACCAGAACGTCCATCTCAAGCTGATGCATCGCTGCAGCGTGGACGGCTGCAACGCGGCTTTCCCCTCGAAGCGGTCGCGCGACCGCCACTCGGCGAATCTCAATCTGCACCGGAAGCTGCTGTCGACGTCGTCGAGCCCGCCACTCTCGTCCAGCCTGCCGCCGAGCCTGTCGCCGCGCGTCGACGATCCGCAGATGAATCCGCTGCTGCACAACGAGTTCCTGGCGCGGCTCTACGCGGACGCCGGCATAGGCGCGCTAGGCGCGTATCCTTTGGCGCCCGGACTGCCGTCCGCGGTCGACCTGGCCGCCAGGATACCGCCGCCGCATCCGCTGTTACTGCCGCCGCATCTCGGTGCCACCTTCCCGGGTCTCTCCTCGTTCGCGTCCCATCTGGCCGGTCTCAACGGCCTCACTCATCAACACTTGAATCATCTGACGAGACTGACGCAGGAGCAAGGTAACAGACACGCGTCTGCCTCGGGCTCGCCAATGTCCTCGCCGGGCTCGGACGATCGCAAAGAGGAGGCCAGATGCACCGTGCCCGGCTGCGAGCGCGTCTTCGGATCCAGAGCTGTGCGGGACGCGCACTCCAGAGACCCGCAGGCCCACCGCGACCTGCCGATTTTGTCCACCAGCGGCGGTGGCTCGTGACCGATCTCGTTCTGCGGTCGCGGACATGACTATTATCCTCTACTGTGATGCCAAAATCCTAACGGCGATTCGACTCGACCAATCGATCGCCGATGATCTCGCTTCTACCTGGGGGTCGGCAGACGGGGTGCGGTTCCTCCACAGAGTCCGCTCCGTAATCCTATTCGTACGTTCGACGGACGTGCGGAAAAACGTGCAATATCGAGCAGGAGTGCGCGCGGAATGATCGACCATCACGTGACTGACTCCGTACGAGAAGTGGTTGCCCGAGATCGCCGAACGCCTGCCCACGGAGTCGCAAACCAGTTTCAATGCGGTAATATTTGCCTGCCAGTTCTTTCCATTTCTCCGATTTTATTCGTCAGGATGCAACACGCGATTTGTTGGGCTAATCTAGTCAATTGGGAAATCTTGATTCGCGCGTTGTCGGAAGCGAAGGGTCGAAATCGCGCGCTAAATCGTTGCCAGAAATTAAAAATAAAGAATTATGAAAATTTTATCTGACTGGAATATTGTGCGTATCTCGCAGTGGCAAACAAATTACATAATACATTTAAAACTTTTTCTACAAAATTAGATGATTTTAATTAATTTCAGAGAGCAGAAATAGGATCTGCATAAATATCCTATCATGTGCAATTTTTATCTACATAACAAAAAAAAGAATAAAATTAACTTAAAACTTTTCTAGAGAAAAAATTAAATTTGTGAGATTTTTTATTTTCCTGGCTTATATATAAAACGAACACAAAGCAGCGCGCGAATGTATCAGTGACGCATTCCCTTCGTACCATTATAAAAAAATCGCATCGTGGCACTGGCTGGCATAAATTCAGAATCTAACTGGTTGATTAAACTGCCTGACTTTGAAGATCTCTCTACGTTCGCGCGTGGCGTGCGATCATTTTTTCGCGGGCCGAGAAACCGACGACCGAACGCGGCGAACCGTTCGGCCGTAGTATTTTGTCTTGTCCGCTAGTTGTTAACCCTTTCTCGCCGAAAATGACGATCGTTACGTTTGTTTTATTATTGGGACTGCTTAACATAATCAGGACTAAAGGCGGGGCGAAAGAAGGACGAGCGTTAGAAGGACGGACGCGGTGTTCCGGTCCCGAAGGGCTAATTTCATCATCGTTGTGATAACGTGTACGTTAGCGAATAACGCCACTATTTAACCAATAACCAGTTACTACCGCTGTATATAATAAACAGACATAGTACCTTTCGGTGTAAACGCGTAATTATATCGACTAAGTTCTACCAACGCGCGCCCGACGCGCGATAAGGTTCAACGACGATTAGTTTTGTAAATGTGAAAAGAGGAAGAGAGAGAGAGAGAGAGAGAGAGAGCAAGAGAGTCGGTGTATACACATGCCGAGAGGAAAGGAGTGCGATGTCGCGTCACGACGGCAGCTAGGAAGAAATGCAATCTTAGTTTAAGGAGCGGGAAAGCTCACCCCCGAGAGCTCGAAGGCTGAAGGGAAGAAGACGGTCGGGCTAGCGGTATAGATAGACGAATGGATCGACCAGCAAATCAAAGCGACAGCGTCTCGCGCTAGATAAATGAGAATAGATAGATTTTATTTATTGTTTCCTAGAAACCCCCAACACACAAACACACACACACACACACACACACGCGCGCGCGCGCGCGCCCAATATTATACAGATTACACTCGACACGTTGTACCAGAGCGGCCAGTAGCGGGCACTGCCGCGAATAACTTCCTCCTCCTAGACTTGTAAAATCGCGTTGTCTTTTTCATGTGAAAATCAATCGGCGTCGGAGCCCCGCTGCTCCCGTCGTCATCCGAGAAAAATTACTCGAATGCATGGGAACACGAGCTTGTACCATGATTTTGGTTGTACATATATTTTATTTTCGTATATCTACGTATATACGTATGATTTGGCGGTGGTGCGCGCCGATGTCGCGGCGCGCGCGAAATATTCTCCGGGAACGTATGTGTAAACAGTGTAAACGTGGAACGCGTTTTTCTATCGAGCCTTCGTTTGCATTTCCGCCTCAGTGAGAAAGAGAGAGAGAGAGAGAGAGAGAGAAAAAGAGAGAGAGAGAGCGAATTTCCCCTTCACCCACGACACACGATGAACCTATTACTACTATGCATTAAGAGCGAACGAGATTTACAATTGTAATTATGTATAAACCGAATGCTACGATGTATATTATAGATCGATTATAAAAAACACACTCATGATTATGAAAATAAATACCTATCAAAACTAATTCACTAAATCTGTTCTTTTTTTCTCCATTCAGCAATAAATCAAAAATAGATTTATCGATTCAACTCTCAAATAGATTATTTGCAATACAAATTAAATGTGAAACTTCTTTCAACGTCTTACACTTCTCATAACTTGTATTTTATATACTATTATTATTATTTCATTGACGCACATATTATTATCATTAATAAGCAACTACTTGCTTGTTTCTAAAAATATAAACTCAATATCCTAACAGAAAAATATTTATGAAAAAAATTGGGAAAAAAAACGATTGCCGACTGAACGATCAAGATTTATATTTCTGTCTCCGCCTTGACGAAAGAGTGGGCAGCACTTCATCGAGCTTTCGGAACGTCGACACGAACAGATACGTCCGCGTGTACAAAAATAAAATAAAAAAATCTCACCACGCCCACGCTCTAACGCAGGTCGACCTCGTTTTCGCGGAAAGAAGATCCTTCCTCCGCCAGCGATGCCGGATCGTTTATCAGAGGATCTCGCGGGCGGGCACGTGCACGCCTACTAATCCGCGAGCCTCACGAAGAAAAGAATCTCCCCGGCAGAAGGGTTGTTCTCGGCTAGACTTTGAGGAGTCACACTCGCAATATAATGGAGGAATTCTAAGGGCCCTAAGGACGGTCTAGCATTTAGACTTCCCATAAATTCTCTGATTATCTACACTGTGTATGAATTATATGAAACAAAACGATTTTTTGGAAAGAATAACAATCAATTTTAATTTAAGATTAGCATTACGATATTTATATTTATTTTAATTTTTGCATTAATTACTGATTTAAAGCTTGCATGTATTTTGCAATTTTTTTATTTAAATGTAAAATGTACTTTGGGAAAAAATATGTTAATTTATTTTTATGTTACATGAACTCTATGACGCAAAAGCTATTCTTAACACAATTATAAACGTTAATTATAATTGTATATATTGTATCGGATATTGCAAAAGTTTCCCGTTGCAATTTCTTAACATAAAGATAGATATGTGTTTGCAGACTGATTTGGAAACCCTTCTATATTTAGAGCAGTCGTTAAAAAAACCCATCATTGCCTCGCTAATTCCTCTCGCAAAAGCGAAACGACAGACTGACACCGTGGCGGAGCACGGTAATTAGAAGTGTCCTGTGTTCGGGTTCATCTAAACGAGACATTTAATTACACGTAAGTATCGAGCGTGCTCCGAAACAAGAGAGCACGCGAGAAGACCCGATTCGCCACCCCGTATCCCCCCCCGTCTGGACCCAGCCTTTAATCGACCAAGCAGATTAGATTAGGGCCCTTCGATTCTCGCGCCAACTTAAGGTCCCAACTGGAGGCTAATAACGGGTACACGTAAAATCGAATCCCGACTGGACCCTAAATGATACTGTGACTTTACGAGTTACGACACAGAAAAAAAAGAATATTACTCTTGGATGTTTACGATTTCTTCAAGATTATATTTTTAAGTAGCACTTCTGATACATATTGATTGTACAGCAACACTATAATAAAATCGTCCGTGAAACTGAGTATTTATAATTAACATTGTGCAGATGTAATGATGACCATTGGAGACAAGTTAAAAGTTGATATTCTTCCTTTCTTTAATACAATAATGTTTTTGATTAATTCTGTGCCAATCTAACTAAATATCGTGCGTCCAACATTGCGATAAGTTAATAATAACTTTTTATAAATATGTCAAAAATTTTCTGAATCATTCTCAATCTTCAAACTTTAGCTTTAATATTTTTTAGTCATCTAGAAAAAAGCTTTCCTTTTTTCTTCCCAGCCCCAAGCGAAATTTCTCGGTGTCTCTGCGAATCAGGCATTATTTCTCTCTTGCTTTCTTTCTCTTTTCTATTCGCAAACGTGTACGTAGCACCGACGTAAGCGAGATAAATGGATTTAGCGTTGTTCCGACCTTACCGAGTACGTGTGCTCGCCCGCGCACTGCTAGAGCTTTATTCTACCACCTCTCTCGACGCTCTCGTGCGCACGACAGGTGCAGCGTGGGAGAACGAGGGTGGGAAGGTGGAGGTGGATGCACGCTTTCGCAGGAAGCTCCGCGAGGAGGGAAAGAGAGGCAAGAGGGGACGGGGAGAGAAGGACGGTAAAAAGAAGAAAACGGCGGAGAGAGAAGGCGGTCTCCTCGGTTAGCGTCGACTCGCCCATCGATTTCCCCGCGTACCCCGTCGCCGTGTACCCCCCGGTCCATCGTGTCCACCGCGGGGCCTCACCATTGCTCTCGCATGATCACTTCGGGCCGTCTCATTACCTTCATGACGATGAAATCCGCGGGATACGCATCGCCAATGAAACAAACTCTTTCTCGTCGATTGCAATTTAATCTAGTATCAAAGTATAACTTTATTATAATCGAATAACAATTTCGTGTTTGTAATCACACTCTATTACACATGATGATAATGTCGCGATAATAACAGTTGTACAAGCCAAAAACTTTTAACAACAGCGTGGATAAAAACAATTGATAATTCGATAAAACGATTCATAATAACATCGCGCCGTTAATCGCAAAATATTTCACCCAAAACATTTATTCCACTATTTATGTAAAATCCCTTTTTGGTACTGTTGATGGAAAAAAATTTTTATCCGGTTGAAAATTTTCAAATAAATATTTGGAGAAAATAAATTTATAAATTGTAAAATAAATAAGAGAAACGCGCGTGAAGTAATAAAAAGTTGCAAGAGTTTTTCTTTGCCCCGGCTCTTTCAGAATTTTCCTTAAAATTTACTTTCTATGTTGCATCCGTAATGGAGATGAAAATATGGAAATCAGATGCGCAACGCGGCATGTTAAATTCTAATACAGCTGATTAAGTAACAACTCCAACAAAGTCTTCTATCCTTGTTACATCTCAATTTACTTGGTTATTTATTTAGGAGTATATAAAACCCAGCTGTTCTGCGGTCGTCGCTCATTAAACTTTTAATTGGTCGCATGAGAAACACATTAACCGAAGAGCAATTACATTGAATGCAGTTTGTGTGCTTGATTATTCCTTCCCCTGTAAATTTTCACATTCAGTTTTATACATACAATCTTAAAGGTTATTTAAATATTTGATGAATCCACGTCTTCCGTGTTTTCTACATCTAAATAAATAATTTCTCAATAGATATTCTACGCAATGCTTTACCCCAATGTAGATTAAAAGAAAGTCTCCTGCGTTTAATATTATTAAGAATATGTACGCG